TATTTCTAGGATATAAATAATGGGGTAGAAGGAAGTTCTAATGGTTTTGCTATTTTTCTATCATTTTTATTAATGGTTCTGTACAGCTTTGAAGATCTATTGCACTCTGTAAGTGCTAAGTATTATTTAATAGTAACTGTTTAAAATGACTGAAATAGAAAGGGTTATGGTCTTGAGGGCTGATTAGGGAAATAACTGAATTTAAGCCCAGTCATTTACTGCCTCAGCCCATAAGCTGTGTGTCTTTCTAGAGGTATGACTTTAGCATTGTTTAGGTTTTAAAATACAGTTCTGGGTTGTAAAGGATTAATGGAAAGTAGGAGCAATGACTGATTAATTATTTTGCTAAAGAAAGATTTTAGTTGAAATAATAAATGAGAGAATTAATTGTAGACCTGAACGTGTAAGTAAAGGCACTAAAGCTGCCTCACAGTCAGGGAGGTTTAGTTAGTTCGTCTGTGAATTTGTTTACATGATTTGAAGCTTATTCAGCATGTTGTAATGCTCATGTAACCTCTGCTATATGTAACTAATTTGTCTGAAATGACTAGGCTAGCTTAAATTTTGTCCAGTTTTAAAACATGGCACAAAGTCTTTTCCTTCTGAAGAGCAGTTTCCTAAATCTTGGGGTCGGTCATACCCAAGCAGTACCTTGTGTGACCATGTGGAGCTTAAATAATATTGTGATAGTTACCATGTATAGTCCCAGACTGATATTATTCTCATTATGCTGAAAACAAGAAAAAAAGTCCTCCTTGCTCAGAGAACTGTGTCGTTTTTCTCCCTTTCTTTCTATGTACTGTATACAGCTGTCCTTCCAGCTGAGATCTTTCTTCCATAATATATTAAAGCTACTAATTGTATGCCTGTATTCTGAAAGTTGTTTGCCTAAAAGAACCATTCCTTGTTCCCGTATCACAGGTGTTTAATGAATGCATTCAATATATTCATAAGTATCAAACATAGTATTTTTCACTTTATCCCTGTCTCTGCTTCAGACTAGCCTCTTGCCCCAAGCTTGCATCTGCAAACTGCACTTTCATGAAAGTGAAATGCTAATACTCCCAACCTTTTGAGGAGGCAGATACCTGTTAAGGTGTGGGTTCCCCCTGCCACTCCCTCGCCTAAACGTTAGAAACTAGAAGTCTGCTGTCATATTTGACCATCAGTCTTACATAAAGCAAAAAATCCAGATTGGAAGTCATGAAATGAAAGTCAATTGCAGTTTAAGGGACTGCAGGATAGAGACAATGAAGTCAGGTAAGGGGCTCGTTAGCTAGGAAAGTTGAGAACGTGTGCTCTCAGAATTTGTCATAGAATGGTATCGGTCCCATAGGTGACAACCATAAGAATTAAAGCAAACTTGCTGCTGCATAAGAGAACTTGAAATCTGAGAAGAGATTAGTTTTAAAATATATTTTGGTTAAGCTTGCTGGCTTTGATCTCTTGAAGCAGTGTATGAACAGGAACTTCTGACTTACAATCAAACAGAAGTTGTCACCTCCCTTCCAAGAGCAAGCCAGTTTTGTCCATCAGTGTTGTTGCACTTTGTCTGCTGGAGTCAAGAGGAGGACTGCTGTGGGGAGAGCATCACCTTGTGTTGTATTAAAGTACGCATATATAAGTATATTCTAACAGTGGAGCTTCATATTGCAGCTAATTAATCTGGCAGCTGATTACCTCTGTAAGAGGTTGTCAACATTCCCTTGCCTGTCACTGGTGCTGGGCTCCTGCCTCCTTTATGTTGATGTTGCAGAAGGCCAGTTCAGAGAGTTGAATGGGCAGAAAACTAAGTTGAAAATCTGGTAACTTACTCATTAAAGAAAAAGAGGGAAGGAGTGAATCTCCTGTTTTGGTCCTTAGGTTAGCTGCAGTAAGAAAAATACCCATTGGTGGACTTCCATGGGCAACTGGCAGCTCAAAGGTTGTGTTCCCATTGAAACAAGTGGTCTTGCTGTTCCTACCCAGTTTTAGCCATAGCTGTGAGCTGGACCTGATTCTGATTTGAAAGAAAGCTCAACTTCAAACAGTGTCCATGCTGTGTCCACCAACACTCACCCCATCCCCCCAAACCCAAAACCCCAAATAAAGCACAACACAAAAAAATCTGCAAATACTGAACCTTATTAAGCATGTTGTCACCTCTACTATACAACTGCTTGCAAACAAACCCAGTTGAATCAGCCAGCTGATTTGTTTCATTGCTCTGGCAGGAATGGATGGAATCACGTCTTTTGGCAGCAACAGGTAGTTTGATGAGTTTATGCTGACTGAGAAATGAGGAAGTTAGATTGAAACTGAAAAATAAAGTTTCAGTTTATTTAGTCGTATTCAACTGTACACAGCATTTCTCAGCATCTCTGCACAGTGCTTGAGCTGTAATGGTGTAATTTACCTCTTCAAAACAAACCCAAAGTTTATAGTGATTTTATTTACCAGAATTTTAGTGCATTTTTTATTAAACTTTATTAGGATAGCTTGACTTTCAAACTAATTAAAACACCACTGTTTGTCTTGTTTCCAAAAATCCTTTTGTTTTTAATATTGCAATCACTTAGCTAAGAGAAGGAGTAATTAAAGTTATTCTCAAGTTGCACAATTTAGTTTATTTAAAAATGCTTTATATAGTTTTTAGATGAAGTTATAAATGTTCACTTTGGAACTACCTGAAGATTAATAGTGATGCATTTGAAATGCATTATTTTTTTATTGATTCTTAATGTAGTAAATTACTGAAGTTATTTGGCAGCAAACAGAAATAGCCGGTGATGTTGTTCACATTTATTTTCCTGATAGCATCACAATTTGCATTAATTGCATTGCAGCTGCACTCACTTATATTAAAAAGCTTCTACTATAATTAATCCTTTTTATTTCAAATCATTTTGGCACAATTTCTAGCAATAAACACTCATAAAAGACAGACACTTGAAAAATAACATACAAGTTTCTTCAATATACCTATTGCTGTTTTTCCTGACAAGGAATTATTGATAGGCTTCTAGGATCAAGTGTTGCAAGTGGCTAAGGCTTAAGACCAGTTTGAAAAATGCTAAGTGGATTATTTTGCATAAAAAATAGACAAGTTTTGAATTTCTGTAATTAACCTGTGTTTAGAAAATACCTTGATTTATGTCTACATTTGTATTTCAGTTGCATACATTATGGAAATTTAATTTATAATCCATTTAGCTGATGTGATCATAGTTTTTAGTGCTATCATTTATTAGTCCTTGTATGTTAAATGCTCTAAAGGCTTAAACCTGCCTTGTGTAAAAAATTACACCTCTACATTTACATTTTATGAGTCATAGATGGAATTCCATTTTAAATTCGGGTAGCTTTGATATATTTAAGGAATTACAATGGCTTTATTGTTACTAATGCAGGAACAGCAAACACTGACCTTATACATTGCAAATTAATGATTTATCCCTCTAGTTTGCTTTTAAAGTCAACTATACAAATGAGGATTTCGACTTCTACACCTTGAATAAATCATATAGCTCTAAATATAATGCACCCTTTGGCTTTGAACTCGTTAGTCTCAGTTCTTTCTGCAAGGTCTAACTCACCTCATAGAAACGTTCTTTCAAAAGTTTAAGGAATTGTGTATATTTTTCTTAATGTCTTTGTGGGAATATCACTGAGTCATTACAGCTACATTTATTCTTCTTTTTTTCTTTTTCTTTGCTCGTTGTGCTTCCTTTTCTAAGTTTGCAGCAGGTTATAGAGGAATTAAGTAATGCCAAAACACTGCTCTTGAAGAGTAGAAAGAGAACAAACAATGATGTTATGTTGATGGTGCCTTTTCTGATCAGCCTGGCAGTGATATTAATGACACTGTAAAGATTTGATTGTTGTTTGAGGTGCTGATGTGGCAAACAGACTAGACAATGGGAAAGGCTATGCAGAGGCAGCATGCTTCAGGAGTGGTTTTTTAAAGGCAACGATCTTTTATTTTTCCTTTATTTGTGTAGGCTTTCTCTAAATGATGTTGTGCTTTCTCTTTCTAGCTGTGAAGTTTCCATCTCTTCTCCTTCTGAGAGATATCATAAGTACTTTTTTCTTCCAATCAAGTAGTTGTTGTTACTTTCATTGTATGAAAAATATGCGAAGTTGCTTTGTGTTACATCAAAATATGGTCAAACAGTAGATCAACTGAGAGTGATATTACTGGGGTTGTGTGCGTTTTGAAAATTCTTGAGGAAACTCCCAGTTTAGAGTAAAAATATTTTTTTCGGGAGTGCTGCAAATTCAGGTCAGGTTCATTTTTAGTTCAGTAATCTTTTGACAGCACTAACAGTGTTAGACATAGGAAGGATTGGACATATGATACGGGCATAACTGATAAGCTCTCAACTTGGAAATTAGGATGGTTTGATGATGCCATTAAGCAGTAGAATTCACCAAAAATACTTAGTGATAAATCTGTATAATGTGCAAGAGAAAGATTTGGATTAGTTATTTATTATTATTTGGATTAGTTTAAAATGTACTAGTTTACGTAGTTATTTTTAAGAGGCAGACTGTTTCACATGGACCAATGGATATGAATGGAAAAGTGTTGCTTATGACAATGCTAATAGAGGTAGAGATGCTAACTTTTTGTGGAAGACATTCTTGATGCAGTTGCGTTGTCCTTGAGCAAACTTTGCTTTTCTTGCCAGTCAATGCAATTGATAGACTGCCTGTTTGCTATCGTACTTTGGGCAAGAAGATTAATGACAGATAATAATTGACCTTGCCTTTTAAATCACCACGTAATTAATTTTTAAAATTTGAGAGCTTGGTACTTCGCAAGGATATTCAAATTTTAAGCTTCAGTTAAATATTTTTAAATTCATGCAATATCTGGGCTCTTGCCATACCAGAAGATCCTATTCAGGCACCAAATTAAGAAGGAATTACCAGAAAGCTGAGAAATAGACAATAGCTTTCAGAATTCCTGCATGTACAACAATAAAATCTAATGAGTTTTTAATCACTTTGGTTTTCAGGCACTTTATGAAAATATGCTGGTGGAGCTGCCGTTTGCAAGTTTTTTCCTTTCAAAATTACTGGGGACAAGTGCAGATGTTGACATTCATCATTTAGCTTCATTAGATCCAGAAATGTACAAAAACTTGCTTTTTCTCAAGAGCTATGAAGGAGATGTAGAAGAACTTGGACTAAACTTCACGGTGGTAAATAATGACCTGGGGGAAGCACAGGTAAGAATGGCTTTCACCTTTTTTTTTTGTTTATGTATGACTGATTTATCATTACTACCCCTACTAATTCATTCCTTTTTAATTTAAAAGTGATAAGAAACAACTGTTACAAGTGCTGTGTGTTGTGAGGCATCATTTGGATTCTGACTCAATATTTGGAGTAGACAATAACTAATCTTGTGCTTAAAAAAATAACTTTTGATGAGCCTGGGTTATGCTCTCTATATGAAAACTTCTGACCTGCACTGTCTTTAGAAAAACACTCAAAAACTTGAAATAAAGGCATGTGATAGAGATGTATCAAAAAACAAGTTCTTAGAGCACCCACTCTATTGAACGATGCTGTACAGTAGAGCACCTGCCCTGTTGAGGCATTAGCTGTGAGTGACTGATGCTGAATTCAGTTCTGTAGTGTCTATGTATTTGGTTACTAGGTTGCAAAGCACAGGAGGTGGAAGCTTCCAATATAACATAGGATTTTCTGAGGGTGAAAAAAACCAAACTTCTAAAGCCATTCATTTAAATGCACTTGAAGTAATAGTCTTGTCGATCACAGCTAATATAAATCCAGTGTAGTCTCCAATTAAAAATGAAGAGTAGCTAATAGTTTCTGGAGAGGTTTTGGTTTCCATGCTTTATACGTCTACTCTGTACGACCTCAAAAATTAGCCATACAAATTAGAACCTACCTCGACAAGTAAGGTGGAAGGACGTAGAAAAGAGAAATAGCTCAGAAATAACACAGAAGGAGATTCGAGTTAGAGATGTTGCCAGCTCACCTACTGCAACAAAAACTTGTAAAACATGCATTCTTGCCAAGAAGCCTAATTTATTTGTTAAAATTCTCTGAGGGCTTTGGATAGTATTATCAAGAGTTTTGATTTTTAATTGTTCACTATTGTTAATAGTGAGTTTCTGAGTAACTAAATGAAATGTAAGTTAAATGAAATATCCTGATGCTGTGTTGCTATGTTTATACTTGGAGAGAAAACACTGTACCTGTGACGTATTAACCATCATTTAATGAGACTGCATGTTAGTGTAGTTCAACAGAACTAATTGGTTCTTGTTACCATCTTCTGTGTTATAATGCAGCAAGTTACTTTTTATACTTTCATTTTATTACCTTAATAAGCGTTGTATGGATAAATACACATTGTCTGGTATTTGACTCGTGTAACCATTGCATACTAATTAATTGTGTCAAGGTAAGGCTAATTCACTTTGGGAAAAGAGCTTAGTTTGCACTCCTTATGTTGAATGTACGTTATCTCTAGTTTTCAGCTAAACAACCACTTTAGTGTCTAATAAATTAGTGCCCAATAAATGCATCATAAATCTATCATTGTAAATGGCTATCCTCATGACAGTGTCCATCCAGCAATTGTGGCAGAAAAGCATTATCTGCAATGAAAGACACATTCAAAAGGGGCTCTATTGCCTCTGTCAGTAGTAGAAGGTAGAAATTCTATTATCAGCGTATTGATTCCAATCCCGTAATGTGCTTTTAGATCCCATTAAACTATTGTCAAAGTGCATTCACCAGAAGTTGAAAAAGGTACTTAATAATTTGCACATTAGACCTGCTAATTAGGGGAGCTATGCCATCAACCTTATCTTCCAACCCCAAATAGCTTTAGCTGTTGATAAAGAACTATCTAATGCAGTGATACCAGCCTAGCTTTCAACTGTTGGCTCTGCTGCATAAAATGATGGCCAGTAAAAAAGTCTCAAAAGAATGTCAGCCTATAGTTACAGGTGCCTTCTATGTATATTGATTTTATTTTTCCTTTTATCTTGTAGATTAGATGGTGATAAAATGGTTATAAAATGCTTCTAATAAGTGTAAGGTTAACAAATTCAAGAAAATACCTCCTCTTTTCAGACCTCCCTCCTCTCACCTCCCCTCTTCTTCTCAATGAGAAGGTGAGTTTTGGGACTGTCCAAGGGAAGAGAGGAAGATTCAAATATGTGTTCTACTTCCTTCAAAAATGTTTGATTCTGTACTCCAGTGAGTCTTCTCAAACGTTGATTCTTGAGATTACATGGATTGGAACAGTTGAATATGATCAGAAGACTCCATAAATAAACTGCAGAACACAAATCCATAGAGAAGTACTATAACATATATGGCAGCAGTTTCTATGAAATCCATATAGTATAGAAGTTGGTGTCAGGACACCTCGGGCTTTTTAAACTAATGTGTTTTAGCAAACTAAATTGCTGTTACTGACAGTACGGTGACTCACTAAAGGGGAGTTCTTTGCCTTTCAGTTTCCTGAAGAGAAAATTTTGAAGCCTTAAAAATAATTCTGAAAGTTTCTATCTTGGCAACTTCATTACTAGGATACCATGGCTTAGATGAATGATTTTTGGAAGCAAAATATTTAAGTTGAGGCTGATCCTTCTCAGGCAGATTTATGACACAGCAAGTGCATTTGTAGGCGTTCAAATGCAATCTCCTACCTGGAACTCCTGCCTGAACATCTGGAAGGCAGATGACAGGGAAAGAAAGAAAACCTTTATCGCCTTATTTTCAGAATGGGGAGAAACTTTGGGAGTGATGTGAACAAAAGTGATCAGAGTCCAAGAAAAAAGAAATTTTTTTCATCTGTCCTAAAACCAAGTTCATAAGAGTCCTGGAGTATCAATAAGAGTGCTTTTTGAAATTGCAGTGGAGATACATGTCTTACATCTTCACACACACAAAAAAGAATACCTAGATGACAGGTCCCTTATTCTTTCCTAAAATATTTCCCACTTTATCCTTTAAATATTCCCTTTTTCGACATTAGCTTGGGAAGCAGCTGCCACTGCCAGATCTGTGTGAGCAGCAGCTAGCATGTAGTTTGTCTCCCAAGAGAGGCTTTTTGGTTTCTGCCTGTAATCACATTACAAATCGACTTTGTGTGACATATTATTTTAAATAAGCCAGAAGATAAATCCCCTGAATTCTGCTTGATAAATATTAAGTTCAATTTTCCTGATTTTTGATGTGTATTTATTTCATTATTATACTAATGTTCAAAGTAGTGGATATAATAACTGAAAAAGGTTGTCTGAACTGTTCACTTGAACTGCAACTATACATAAAATAAAAATTTACTTTTTCTTTTTTTACACACTGTGGTGATTTTCTTAAATAAGAATATAAATGTAAGTTGAACTAATTTTTCAGTATGTACTTGCAGAAACATATAATTGAATTTGTAGCCAAGAAAACCTAAATGCATGCAACCATGGTTCCGAGTGTATCCAGCCTTCAGTCAGAGGCCTAATGCAATGCTATAACCACATTGCTAGAAAATGCAAAGCATCTTTTCTTGCAGATTTTTAAAAATATGGGACTTGGGTATCCCATTTTGGTATTTCCCCTTCATTTTGAGGCCATACTTTGTGAGTATGGAAGCAAATTCAGTTATCTATGATATTATCTGAATTATCTGAATACTTATCTAAATAATATGAATGATTTGATTGCTTTTAAAACATGTGATTTTGATAATGAATGAAGTTAAAATATTTTTTTTTGTTAAACTTTGATCTGCAAAATAGAAAATAAGGCGATGACACAAGTCTGCACGTTTTTGGAAGTTTGCAATTCTCGCCCATCCTATGTAACCATCTTGCACCATCTAGTGGGGAAAAGTGGATGGATAAAACAAAAATGCAAGCTCTTAAAATCTTTTTAGGTTTTATAAATTGTGTTGTGGCCTTTTTGAAAAGAAACTCTTCAGCAATCATCCCTGACATTTAGAATTAAATGGGAATTCTACAATACTCCGTTTAAAACGCCATGAAAGCAATGAATGAGTAAAAAGTGAACTGCATCTACATTTACTATCGTTTTACTGCCAGGCCAAGTGCTAACTATTTTCTGTCTTCTGGTTTACATCCTTCTTAGCCTTCACAGGGTAATGTATTTATTACTCCTGCTACATTAGCCTTTTTGTTGCAGACTGTGGTGATACTTTGAGAAAACAGTAGTAGAATTAATCTCACATTGACAATCTCTGAAAACGGATAGTTAGATAACTGGAAAACCTCAGGAAATTTGCTTAACTGAATGCTGTAGTCCTACGTGTAGCAGTGCAGAGTTGGGGGGAGGAAGGGGAGTTGTGGAAGTGTTAATGGATCAGAAATCAAAGTTTGCTATTAAAAAGGATAAAAATAGAAGCAAATATAAGATTTTTTTAAATTACATTTTTTCTTGTTTTCTAAAAATAGTGGTCAGAAAGAGCACAACACTTTTTTTCTCTGATTGGCAGAGAAAACATTATAGGGAGAGTGAATAGCTTTTATTTATACAAGGAATACAGCTTTCCTGGCATCCTTAGACCACTGTAAAGACAATACTATTACAATGCAAACTTAAGCATAAATTAACGTGTGTCCTGATCTCTATTTGCGGACCTGCAGGGAAGGTTAGATGTTTTACTTCACCTAGTGCTGGGATGAATCTTAAACCACAGCAGTTTCTAGAGCATCCTGCCAGTAGTTCCCTTCTGCTCTTTTAGAAAGTCAGTCAGTTCAGGCATCTTTTTGTGTAAATACTGAGCTCATAGAAATTATTATGCACAAATTGAATAATAACCATCAGTTTATTTTTGGTGTCATAGAATCATAGAATGGTTAGAGTTGGAAGGGACCTCAAAGATCACCTCGTTCCAACCCCTCTGCCATGGGCAGGGAATCCCTCCACTACACCAGGTTGCCCAAAGCCTCATCCAACCTGGCCTTGAACACTTCCAGGGATGGGGCGTCCGTAACTTCTCTGGGCAACATGTTCCACTGCCTCACAACCCTCAGAGTGAAAAATTTCTTCCTTGTATCTAATGGAAATCTACCCTCCTTCAGGTTAAAACCATTGTCCTTTGTCTTATCACTACATGCCCTTGTAAAAAGTCCTTCCCCAGCTTTCCTGTAGGCCCCCTTTAGGTACTGGAAGGCTGCTATAAGGTCACTGTGGAAAGATCACATGCGTATTCTTAAGAGAAGCTTGATGATTTAGGTGATACAAATATGCTTTAATATGGCCAAATTCAATGTGTCCATACTTCAAAGAGAAAAATTACAATTCTGTAATTACAGTACTGACAACAGGTAATTATGCAGTTCTGCAAAACAAATAGAGAAGATTTGTAAATGGGCAGATAGCAAAGTAGTAGTAGTGGGGACGTCTCAACAATGATCTAGTCTTCCAGAATATCATTGATATCTCTGATGGTGTAACACTAGGGAAGACAAGAATTTAAATAATAAGTAAGAGAAAGCTTTCTCATCTTGTTAGGGTTTGTAAAAGGATATTTTATGGGAGGAAGTTAAAGGAACCTGACTTATTTTAGTTCTGTGAAAAAGTCTCTGGGAAGATTAATGAAGTTGCTGCCCATAAGTAATACATCATGGATATAATTGAGGAGGAAGCAAAGAGCTGTTTAAGCTATAGCACAATATTGAAATAAGAACAATGGATATGAACACCCCATTGGACTCCAAGTGGAAATTAGAATGTTTCTAATCACTAGATGAATCCAATTATTGACTAACTTTCCAGTGACAATGGTAAAACTACCATAGTGGAATGAAACACAGTACATTTCTAGACCGCATCATTGCCTGCAGTAGCAGAGGAGAAAGCTTAGCAGCACGGGGGCCCCTTCTCATCAGATGTTTCCATTGTGGTATAGAACATGTCCCATACTTCTTTTAACACTCCTTGTGAACTTTACCAGTAAAAATATCCTCATTCTCCAGCCAGTCAGTGGCACCAGGTACTGGCCTGTACCCCTTGGAGTGGCCGGCTGCATCGCATGCCAGTATTTGCAAGGGATGGACCCCAGAGAAAGCTATCCTGTCTCTTGTGTCCGTCCTTCTTGTTGAAGGGGACTCACTCGGAAGGGAGCAAGCTACTGTGTGCAGCGTATGAAACCGAGTCAGATAAACTGACACCTTAATTCTTCAGGGAGTAGGATTTTAGCATAGTCAGTACTATCTGCACACAGCCATGGTCGAGTATAGATGAGTTTTTTTACCGTAGACATAATAAAAGCAAGAAGTTTGCAGCTGAAGGATTAAAGTGGGAAATAAGACATATTTTTAACACCTGTTGTAATTCAGGTTGTTCTAGCTTATCAAGGAAAGTGGTACATACTCCATCACACGGAGTCTTTACACCAGGATTGCCTGTCTCTCTAAAAAATGTGCTCTAACTCATCTATGGATTTATCGAGTTAAATACAGGAATCTCTAGACAGAATCCTCTGGCCTGTGTAATCTGGGAGGTCAGATTTACAGATCTTAATGTTCTTTTTTGGCCTTAAAACCCTATGAATCAAGTAAAAATCTGAACGCTCAAAAGCACTGTTAATTTTTAATCTTAGCATTTTGCATTTTGCTTAGTACTAGAACAGCTCACATTATGAGGTAGCATGTTACAAAAGAAGCTATTTGAGTATTTAATTCACTGCGCTCTGAAGATGTGATTGTTACTGCAGACTGAAATGCACAGTTTTTTTAAAAAAGAAAATTAAAAATTGCTGACTCCAGAGTATAAAAGAAACCAGACTTTTTTTGGAAGGGTTCAGAAGGTGACAGTATCTCAGCTTTTCAGTTTTTTTAATCCTCCTCTTAGTACTCCAGTAATCCGTTCTAATTGGGGTGCTACTCAACAAAATTAACCTCATGTAGTGAAGAGGAGAATATGTAAAGTTCTTTAGTGTTTTAATAACAATTACCGTTGATCTGGTTTATATCTTAATGGAATTACAGTATCTTTGGTTTTGGAGATTTTCATTAAAAATTCTTCCATGCTGAGGTATCTTGTTGTACTTGAAGGACAAAAGTTAAACTTCTTAGTAGAAAAACAAGATTTAGGCTCGATTCTTTTGTTATGGTTTGTTTGGGTTTTAGTTTTGTTGAAAGTACTGAGCATGTGTAACTTGGATTTTCAACAGTAGGAGTTGTGAATGCTTATCATTCTGTAAATTAGGCTTGTATCAGAATCTTAATTTTGACTCAGCAGACATTGCTCCTACCATGTGATCCTGCAGAATTCACGATCACCAGACAGTTAGAGAATGGCCTAGCCCGTCACGCAGAGCTTTCCTAAGCCAACGGGAAGGAGAGCACTCTCTGTGAGCTCTGTGCCTATACAGGCTGCTCTCTCTTCCAGGGCACTTAATAGCGTCAGTGAGACTAGGGGCGAGCTTGCCAAGGGGAAGATTTTCACCTCCGTTTCTGTCTGACTTGCAGTGGTGAATTTAGTATTACATGCTGTCTCCTGTTAAAAGAGCTCTGACTTTGCCGAATCTGCTTTCTGGTAATAAACCATGGGGCCATGTGGTCAGCTGCATGAGCAGCTGGAAGTCTAGGTCTGAAAACTGGATGCCATAGATTTTGCTCTTATGAGTAAACATAAAAAAACCCTACCTTTGTAACCTGTCATAATCTTTTATCTTATTTTGAGGTGATTATTCTTGAGTAAATTCTAGTAAATCTCAAATATATGCATCACTTACCAGAATGTTTTGCAGTTCAATGTTACGGTTACAGTGCACAGAATTAAAGTTTACCAAGACGATGAAAAATTGTTGTTTACAGGTGGTTGAGCTGAAGCCAGGTGGAAAAGATATTCCTGTAACCAGCGCTAACCGAATCGCGTACATCCATCTGGTGGCAGACTATAGGTTAAACAAACAAATCCGACAGCATTGCCTTGCTTTCCGTCAGGGACTGGCCAACGTTGTGAATCTTGAATGGCTTCGGATGTTTGATCAACAGGAAATACAGGTACTTCTACTTAAAACTGCAGAAAACAATTGCTTTAAACAGAAATAAATGCTATTTTTTTGCCTGTAATGTAACTGTCTGATTTCCTTCACTGTTAGGTTCTGATTTCTGGTGCCCAGGTTCCTATTAGTTTGGTTGACCTTAAATCTTTCACAAACTATTCAGGTAAGTGTATTTTACTTAAAGAAAGAAATGTGTTAAGACTGACTCAGGAATAAAAAAACTTGCTTTTTATCCTGGCTTTTGGGAAAAAAAAAAAAAAGTTGTAGGGTCGTTCTTGTTAACTTTGGTTGTAAAGTTTGGCCACACTCTCTAGGCAGACCTGAATTTCTGAAGATTGGGTAAAATTACAACCTAATTTTATAAATGGTAGGAAATATAGGTAGCAGTTTATTTTATTTGCACATTTAAATATGAAGTTATAGCTGGATAATTAGAGGGCATGTAATTCCTTTTCTAAATGGATGTTAGTAAATAGTTATATCTGGTTGCTCTGAAAATAAGTCTGCAAATGACTTTGGGATAGTTGTTTCTACCACTGTATTCAGATACTTAACCATTTCTCAGACAGCCTAAGACAGAGCTCATTTTTATTTCCTTGTGAGAAATGCAAGGTATCTTACTTCATTTTTCCCTGCATTTATCATGAATGTAATCAAAAATGTATGAAAATCAAAAATCAAAACTGATGATGTATATCATCAGTTCATATCCAGGCTTACCTCAAGGTAAGTTGATTCGTTAAATAACATCCTGAGTCTTGCAGATTTGCAAACTCCTGGAGTACAAAGGCAGTAATCCAAAGTTACTAGGTAAATGCTAAACTAAATAAAATTAATTTAAAATAAACAAATAGAATTCAGTGAAGAAAACTGCAGTTAAGCAGCTGAGGGAGATAGTAGCTGTAGGTAAGCAATGAATGAGAAACTCAAAATGAGTGATCAAAGAGATCTATAGATACTGGAAGTCAGCAGTGTTAAGTGCTGGTTATAATATTTTCCCCAAGCTTTTCAAGATTGATGCTAGATTTTCTGAAGAATTTATTTCTTACATAAAACTGTTCTACCTATAAATCATTTAAATCTCATTGTAGGTGGCTACACAGCAGACCATCCTGTAATTAAAATATTCTGGAGAGTTGTAGAAAGTTTCACTGATGAAGAGAAACGCAAACTACTCAAGTTTGTAACAAGCTGCTCTCGACCGCCTCTCCTGGGGTTTAAGGTATGTGTCTTCCTGACTTCCTGGCAAGTTTTTGTAAATAATGCAGATTACGGTGCAGGCTTTTCTTGTGTGTAGGAATTTACAATTTGAGAATAATGTTCCTCTGTGGCTTCAGAAACAGCTTCAATGTTTGCATTTGTGTGTATAAGGAGTATAGTTTTATAATATTTAATGAAATGTTGTTCTGTCCTTTTCCATTTCAACTGGAAAATTTGATAAGCTTACAAACACATTGGTTAGAGCACTTGCTCTTTGTCATGGAAGATCCTTGCTGCCGTTTCATGTTACTCTGCAGAAGCAATGTTGCTAACCAGATTCAATGAGCAGGCTGAGTTAAGAATAATGTCTTTTAAATCAGGCAAGGGAAGATTTACGATATAAAAGCAGCTATTAAATTTGAACCTCTTAAAATAACCATTTGAAGCAGATGTATTGTGTTTCCTTCTAATTACTATTTATCTGCTTGTAGGGTCACAGCTCATTACCCTTTGTGTCTAAATATTTTGCTGCCATCTTTAGATTGCTGTTTACAGTGAAGCTCAAGTATGAAGAAAACTTTTGTCTGCTGCTTATAAAACTAAAGAGAGGCTGAGGCAAGTTGCAGACATTTTGAAACTAAATTCTGGGGATGTTCTACCCGTGAGTTTCAGCTGGGCTGCTAAATTCTGGCTAAGAGCTGGCCATGGACTTCATTTCCTTTAAAACATGGGAGCATTAAATGCTTTTCTGCAAGAAAATAAAAGAATAAATTGCTTCACCGCAACACCATCACCTTTGTTACAGTGGTCAACAGCATGTTTGCTCTTGTACTTTTTAGTAAAATTAATACAAAGGTGGGCTTATGTGGAACAAATATAGGCATTGCATCATCTAGATCCTTACAAGTAAGAATAAGGTGTATTGCTAAACAAAATTCCAGTACATGTATTTCGTACATTTTCACATTTTAAGGTACAGTGGTACAATATTTAATTAGCAGTGGACAGTAACTGATTTCCTACATTGATTAGGTAAAATAGGTAGATGAACCTAGAAGAAATTAATGCAGGTATTGTGTAAGTCCTGAAGGTTTACTAGCTGTTTTGTAAGAACAAGTGGTGTTGAATGAACATTTTCTCATTATAGAAATACTGCAGGGACAGATACTAACACTTTATGTAGAAACAAAGAATTCAGATATAAATAATAGTCTGGAGGTGGAAACAACATATTTGGAATTTTGCACAATTTTTTCATGAATCATACTGTGAGAGTTCATTCTGGTGGGGTTTTTTAGGGTTTTTTGTTTGGTATTTTTAGCAGCATTTAAAAAAAATACTCGAAAGGCAAATGCTCAAAGAATTTATTCTCAGCTTCAGGAATTGAGTCTTTTCCTGTGACATGTCTTGGGGGTGACACATGATAAAGATGTTAGAAGTAAAAAATGAAACAAAACCCCCAACTCTTCCATACACACAACTTTAGATATCTGTAGTACTTATTGCTGATTTTCTCTTATTGAATTAAACAAAATTCATTCTAGAGTTTTCAAACTTTTGATTATTTACTTTTTTCATAAATACTGTTTTCCTCTGGAAAACAAACAAGAAGACACTCCAATATTGAAATTACAGTGGTCTCAGACACAGACCTCTGACACTTGAGTGATTTAAAATATATAAAAGCATACGTGGGTTGTCATACAGTAGTATGTGGATCAGTTGCTAGCAGTGATGAAAGAAGACTCCTAGTAGCTTAAACTGCTTTTTTTTTTCAGGCTGCAGAGTGATTTTTGAAGTGGAAGAGTTGTTTCTAGTGCCACATTCTGCAGAGAAGCACAGCCCTTTTCCCTTGACTTCCATCTGTCCCCTTTGCTGCAACTTCACGTTCTCTTCCCTCTTCAATCCTTGTGTTTATTTTCCTGTTTCTTTGTAAGCAGATACAGATATGCAGCACTGCCATTGCAGCCTGTGATCATTTAAACCTTCTTTTGGTGCAATCTTCTTTAACCCTCTGTGCAGTCTCACCCTCTGCATGATCCCTTCAGCAGCTCTAGCAAGTGCTGCGTAGTGCTGTTAGCATGTGGATGGCAACGTATCCTCCAACTTACACATCTATAATCTACGGTTCAGCTGCACTCCTGTAGGAACCTAGGAGAGGAATGAGTGCTTTCAGTCAGTAATTTGTCTGACTGTTCTGTGTGTCTGCTTAAGGAGGAAATGAATCATGTCTTAAACTCCACAAAACATACTAACTAGATCCCCTTTAACAGTAAAGAGTGTCCGGGGTGGCTAGATTTGGATATGGAGACAACGGAGATGGCTGTTTAATCACATGAATCCTATCTAGGGTATTCGTTAATTGATTTCTGCGATTGATTATTTAAAAGCCTGCAAGCATTTGTCTTAAACTCTCCAAGTCCATGTAAGTATCACTGTACAGTACTCTAGCAACAATCAGGGTTTTATAGGACAGTGGGAAGAAGAATTAGAAAACCGTAGGATGAGACCAAGATAGAACAGTGCACATCAGTCATGTAATGAGGGGAGAACTGGGAAACAATTGTGTAGAAACAAAGTAAACAGAAGTCTCCATTTGTTGTCATCCTTTTTAATTACATGGGGAGAGGAGGAAATGCAGATGTAGCTACCCAGCTTTGAGGTTGCCAGCGTGACGTTTGAAGAGGTGGAGGAAGTGAATCAAATCAAGAATAGTGTGACCAGCAGGAGCAGGGAAGTGATCCTGCCCCTGTACTCGGCACTGGTGAGGCCGCACCTGGAATATTGTGTCCAGTTTTGGGCCCCTCGCTTTAAGAGAGATATTGAGCTCCTGGAGCGAGTCCAAAGAAGGGCGACTAAACTGGTCAAGGGGCTGGAAAATAAAACTTATGAGGAGCGGCTGAGGGAGTTGGGGCTGTTTAGCCTGGAGAAGAGGAGGCTGAGGGGAGACCTGATTACGGCCTATAAATACTTGAGAAAAGATGGTGGGGAGGTAGGGGAAGGGCTCTTTACATTAGTGATGGGTGATAGAACAAGAGGAAATGGGCATAAGCTTAGTCAGGGGAGATTCAGGTTGGATGTTAGGAAGTATTTCTTCTCTGAAAGGGTTGTCAGCCACTGGAATAAGCTGCCCAGGGAGGTGGTTGAGTCCCCATCCCTGGATGTGTTTAAGAATAGGGTGGATGAGCTACTTGAGGATATGGTTTAATGGGGATTAGGGATGGTTGGACTTGATGATCTCTAAGGTCTTTTCCAACCTAGAAATCTATGAATCTATGAAATGTCTAAAAATGTTAAGGCTGACAGTGCCTCGTTAGAAAGAAGCCAAATGTGGAAAGCTGAAGTTTGTGTGTGTACTCGTGAGATAGGCCACAACCTGAATTTAACATACTTGGCTAGGAAAAAATTAAAATGAAATAATCTTCACATTTTCAGCATGATAGCAATAAGTTAAAAGATTAATTCACTGTACAACGGGCTTGCGAGCTCAGCCACATGCAACAGTCTTGGCAACAGAGAGCTGCGTGAAAGGGCATTGCTGCTGCTTTGCTGGGCAGCACCGAGTGGCAGTTAGTTAGGTCAGTGCTTTCATAGTGCTTGCGGTAGTATCTTGTTAACACAGATTTACCAACAAACCAGGCGTTTGCCAGGAAATGTCTGCCAGAAAAGGAAGTGGGTAGCTGGTATTGTCATCAGCAGTGATGTCTTGGTAGCATCTGACAGCGTGTTGTTTAGAGCTTTGAAGGTGAAGAGTGCAAAGCTGCAGGCGTGCTGAATATTACCGGCCAAATAACTGTCTGAATGTATTTATGTTGATGGAAGATGTTAAGACCAAGCTATTTTCAAAATTTGTTTACAGTTTTAATACGTTTACTGTATTTTTCTGAGAGGAGCACAATTTCTGGTTCTCACTCTGAAATCTTCTGTATGCTTTGTATCGTGGAAACTTCACGTTTTCTTACAGTTAGTGCATGTTAATTTAAGATGAGGAAATGTCTTGACATTCATAGCTTATAGATAACACAGTCTAGCTTTGCATCATTTAAAAATTTTAAACTCTCACTGCCAGGTTCAGACTCAGAATCATTTACCAAAGCTAATTAAAGTTTAATAAGTTTAATAAATGTGATTGTTATGGACAAAAAAAAAATATCATTAAAGCATGGTTGAAAACTCTTAAGTTCCAATCAGGTCACATAATAAATTGATGATACTTTTGACTTCCAAACTATTGCAGTTTCCCGCTGTACAGTATTTAATTATGCAACAAATGGTGCCCTTGGCATGACATTTCAATTTAGAACTTCATTTTTCCATTTTTAAAGCTAAAGTAGGGGAATTCAATTAGCATTTTGAAAGGAACACTAAAAATGCAGCATTTTAGCCATGAAATACTTTTTAAGGCCTCCATTTGAACAATAATTTAGCTTAGAAGGTAATTGACCTTCTGCCTTTGCAGCTGGGATTTTTTTCCCCAGTTTCTAAAATCAGAACTGTTTTATTTCAGGCAAGCATTTGATAAAATGAATACTTTCTTGCCAGCAAAATCTATGCTTTAGAGTTAACAAATAAATATCTTTTTCACTATACTCTTTCTCAGAAGAAAAAAAAAAATCACATTTTACTAAAACAATTAAATATTACATACAAAATGTCTTAAAAATCTGTTCCTCAGATCAATAGTTATCGTATCGGAAGAATAGTCAGGGTTTGACAATTTTATGTCATTACAGAGTCACCACGCACATCGATATCATCTCAGTAACAGCTGAGTGACTTGTTAATCACTCTGTGAAGCAACACCAAGCATAATTGCTTTATATAAAGTTAGACCTTTATTTGGAGAATACAAAGTACCTCTTGATTCAGTGTTCTGGATCATGGTAGTGTAAATACGTGCTTAATCTTACATAGGAACAGATCCACTGAAATCATTAGTACTGTTTGTCTTGAAATTCATAAATTGTTAGCTTGCTGGAAGATTAGTTTAGACAGAAATGCCTTTAGGGCAAGAAATGCTTTTAGCATTGTGTCAGACAATTAATTTTAACAAAGAAATTATAATTGTATATTATGTATATCCATATTGTAATATATTTCCTTATATTGTATATAAGGAAAATGATGCCTTGATACTCATCCACTTGAAGAATTTATTTTATATATCTAGGGTATGCTAACAAACTAAAGCTCTAGAAAGAAAACCCTGAAATGGTATGTTTGATCATTGGTTGGTTGGTTTGGTTTTTTTAATGTCACAGAAAGAAATTGATGTAGTACTACAACTTTATCAAATTTATTCTTAGATTTGGTCCTTCATTCATCCTCTTTCTCCTCAGAGCACCACTTTAACAAGTAAATGCTCGTGTAGAATTTGTGCATAAAATTGGAATACTTTTAAACTCTAGGAGAAGAAAGTTGTAACTGGCAAAGCACATTGCTTCGTTGCCTAGAGCAAAATTGCCTTCGCTGTACGTCATTGCGACAGATTTTAATCTGATTATTTATTTGCTAGAAATGTGTGCCAGCTGTTACAGAGTAGGTTTTGGCTTATATGTTATTTTTGATACCATTTTTCCTGTTGCGTTTTTCAGGAGTTATATCCTGCATTTTGCATTCACAATGGAGGATCTGACTTAGACAGGCTGCCTACTGCCAGTACCTGCATGAACTTGCTGAAGCTTCCTGAGTTTTATGATGAAAATCTTATGCGAAGCAAACTTCTTTATGCCATTGAATGTGCTGCTGGATTTGAACTAAGCTGAGTCGAACTGATGCGTATTTGGATGACCTGCAGAGGAACTAACCAGTGCCTACTCTATAAGCAGCACCCGTACCCAAGCAGTTTTAAGGGAATTCTGTCTAGATTTCTGCAGCTCTTGTGTCTTATCAAATGCCCTCAACTAGATTTCATTTTCAAACACAATTTCTTAGTTAGCTTTCATTAATTAATATTACATTGACACTGCTTTCTGATTCAAAACAATGAATGCTGTGTGCAGTGTGGCTGTTTTCTGTGTTTATGTGAAGAGAGCACCTTTAAAGATCAGTGACATCTCAGTGAAATTAACCAAAGATGAAGCTTTGGCTTTGTGCTGTTCAAACATAAATAATTTCACAAACTGGCAATAAATTGTGTACCATACAGCTCATTGGGATGAGACAGGGCTAACATCCTATAATTAATGTTTTAGATGGAAGTGAAGCAAATGTTTGCAGATATCCCAGAACTGAGAGGACAAAAACGCTCATTGCCGATAACCTAACATCTTTACTTACGTTGTAGAACTGTTTACAGATCATAGTTGTTGCAGAATTGATTTAGTTTTATACTACCTTCCCTCAAGATGGTAGGCACTGAGATAAAACGTTTATAATACTCTATTTGTGCTTTCTGAAATACCTTGGAGAAACCGGATTAGCATTATTTTAAGTTCAACCTTTGGCTGCATCATTATCACTTGAATATTGTTGTGAATGGATGTGACTATCCATGTTTTCTCTGTTCTGTTTCTGTCATTTGTGCCTGTACAGATATTTTTTTTTTAATGTATCAGACTCCTGTTGCATACACAGTACATACAAAAGTCATCACTTTGGAAAAATATACATGTAACAACTATTAAAATTATTTGAACCAAAGTTATCAGGCTTTATCTTTTGTATTTGAAGCCTGTGGTGTTCACATTCCTATTCCCTATCATTTCTTTCCATCTGGAATACCATATCTGTGCTGTAGACACTAGTCAAATTCATTATTATTTTGTGATTAAACAGCTTTTATGTCCATCTGCCTGCAGTATTTCTGTTAAGAAAAGTAGGTGGGAATATGCTGCTTCTTATAATTTGATATCTGGGAAGAAAATTGCTTTCATATGGAAGGCACTGATCCTCTAGTAGTATAGGCACATGGTTGGGTAGTAGTATGTAAACTGCAGTCAATTGAAAAAAGGAATTATAGTTAAAACTATAAGATTCATAAGTACATCCCTCTGAACTTTAGTTTTATTTTTTAAACCATCAAAATTTACAATCAAATTTGTATTCATCTCTTATGCAAAAAAATATTTTGCTGTTACTGGAAACTGTTGGATTTCGTATTTAATAAGCAGTAACCAGCAATATCCTTTTAAATGTGGGGAAACTGAGTGATTTTAAGATGTTTACTGGTAACCATATAAAAATGTATAATTTCTTAATTTGAGTAATAAATGAAGTGTTAAAATACTGTTTGTAGTCTTGATGTACAGAAATAAAATGATTGGTTTTCTTTTTGGTTTTGCTTTAGGCTTTTTATTTACGTTAAATGTGACATACCCAACCTATTGTTTATCCCAAAATTCTTTTCTTGTATATTTTTCTACATAAATTATGGAACTTGTAAAGAAGTTGAAAAAGAGATCAGTAATAGTGGAACTGCCTCCTCCTAATCACAAAACCTGAACACTTCTTTTAGATAGCATTATTTATTTTAGAACCTAATGCTTTAAATATTTTGAAATTATTTTTAAATTCCATTGTTTTGCTACATTGGGTAGTGTTGTATCTGTCTTTTGTAAAATTAAAGTTTCTATGAAATATTCGTATTGTAAAGATTGTGTTGGAGTCGTGCCAAGTAATCATGGCTGGTAATGTACACTTTCTGCTTTCGGAAGAGGAGACGGTGCACATTATTCCTGCCTGTTACCGTGAATGCAAGTTCCACAGAGAGAGTAGGCTGGGGGGAAGCGTGAGTAGCAGACAGGTGTAGTCATGTAATTGCAAGAATCACACGGTTGCAGAAGACTTCAGTAGGGAAATTGAGTTTGCTGAAAAATACTCTGACTTTTTATTTCTTCAGTATGTAGTACTTTGTGATCCTGTTTTGTATATACTGTCCGTGAAGTATGAAATTCTGACATGCTCAAGTCGGTGGGATTGTAGCCTGGATTTCATCCTGCAGGTAGTCAGCTAAGATCTGTGCAGCAGCAGCTTGCACCACCTTCAGTATCCAGCCTGCAATAAGAAGAGGGGAGGGCTTTCAGTTCTGACGGACAACTGTTTTTCTATAGTTGGGACGAAGCACGAGCCCCTGCTTTTCAATGATCTATTGCTGGATATTTTAAGGAACAGGAGATAAAGGTATGAGAAATAATATAGGTGTAGTTAGTCATGTCCTGAGGAGCTAGGTGGTCTAAATGATCTCTCGTAGCTCTTACGTAGCAAGAATTATTTATAGATGAAAATGGATTTTCTGTTTTTTAAAAGAAGAGTGAAGCTCCCAGAGTTTAGGTAGGCAGAGGCAGGAAGCACTTTGCATGCAAGGAACCTGAAATATTATTGTAGGTTTTGATCATCAGAATTATGGCAGTAATAATTATGGGCTTGGAGTTGTTTTCTGTGCAAGACAACCCTTCATTAAAGTCAATTTCTGTACTTCAGTGTTTTGTCCTCCTAGTTCAGTACTTGCTTTTTGAAAAATGACAACATTTTCTGTTCCATTTTTGTTTTCAAATAATTTTTGTTTTATAATTCTTTACCCTGTTTTAAAAACACTTTTGTCAAGGTTTATGATGGAAAAGGTCGCATATTCTTCATCTCTGCAGAGTTAAAAGGCATAAAAGTGAAATAAAAAAATAAAATTAGCACTTGGTCTGTTTATCTTGGTGAGAATTTTTCTACCTGTGGGTTCAGTCCTACTAGCTGGATTGAAAAAAAACAACCAACAAAACAGAAATGATTGGCCTTGTTCCTTAATCTCAGTTGTCTTCCATCATGGTCCTGAAAGCCAAATCTGTATAGATTTCACAAAACTTGCTCGTGATTTCTAGGGAGAATTCATGTCTACAAAGCAGGAAGGGTTTGACTCCAGCTTCATACGTAAACACTGAGCTGACAGAAGTTTGATTTGAACAACAAGGCTATCTTCAGTTATTGTCGTGTGGGGTGCACCATAATTTAAAAAAAATGAGCTTTCCGATGCTATTAGTAGCAATGTGGACAGGTTTTTTGGCATCGCTTGAGTAATCTAGCACAAACATCCTAATGTGATCTATGAAGGGGTTTGGAATTCAAAGAGAACATTTTAAGGAGTGCAGTGAGCTCATGCTAAATTTAAGTGTAAATCAAAAACTATTTGTTAAATGCCAGTGAGACAGCACATACTCTTTTCAATACTGAAAAAACAGTACAGCACAGAAACAAAAAGGAAATGAGAGCTGGTTTTCTTGGAATGTTTTGTTGGAGCTGTATTTTTTTTTTAATTTATAATTATATGCAAAAACTTTAAAACATTTGCTCATATACATGAATCTGTGTTAATAATGGTTTGTGATGTAAATGCTTGTTACTATTTTTTTTCACAATGCTTTGGCTGTCAGTGAAGGAGAGAAGAAATGAACATGGTCTGTAAAACTGATCAGGATATCTATATTTTTATTGACTTCTGCTTTTGTGAATAAAATAATTTGAGTTTTCTTGAAACTTTGCAGAAACACTCCTTTCATTTTTTTTCAGCAAATTTGGTATTCTCTTGCTGAAGATTTATAGTACTGAATAGGTTCTAAAAGGGAAGTTAATATTAGCTGTTGGCTGATCTAGAAGTTACCGCTGCTTCTGGATGATCTGTAACCAGTTTTCGAGCTGTGGAGTTCCCAGTGTCAGTCAAAGTGCAGCTAAAAGGTTTAGCTTTGTTTCAGTGTGTCTTTCAAACAACGTAGCTAACATCACTGATGTGCTTTGAGAAACATCTTCATAATCTTTGGAAAGAACAGAACTCCCTCCTTGGATAAAAATATATGAGAAGCTGTATTTCATAGTGAAGAGTGCTACTCTGTCAGCAAACACATACAAAACCATCTCTTTCAGCTGCTTCTGCAATTTTAGCAAATACGTGGGTGCTTCTGAAGGTGTAAATTTTTTTTTATCTCCTTTGGTAATTACAATTATCTGCTTCCCTTTGCTTTTCTATTATTTTCTTTGCTAAATATGCTTTTTAGTTCCATGATAGCGTTTATAAAGTTAGTATTGTGCATATTAATTTTGGAATACTTACAAATAGCACCCTATATTCTTCAGCTTATTGCTAAAAATGTGGTAAAAAGAAAATGACAGAAAACTCCTCTTGTAGGGCACTTCATAACTCATGGCATGAATAGAACACAAATGCCCCGACACCTTGCCCATTTCCCAGTATGTATCTGGTAGTTTGGAAAACACATAAAATTTCTGATTGTGTAGAGACAAGACAAGGCAAAAAGTGATTGTGAAGTTACATCCGTTGAACCCGTTTCAAAGAACACAAAATGGTTGAGGTCAGCAGGAATGTCTGGAGATCACCTAGTCCAACCCTGGGCTCAAAGCAGGGCTGCCTAGGGCAGGTTGCTCAGGACCTTGCCCCATGGAGTTTTGAATGTCTCCATGGACAGACACTCCACCACCTCTCTGGGCAACCTGTTCCGGTGTTAAGTACATTTTTAATCGGGTGTAAACACTTTCTTGTATACCAGTTTGTGCTCGTTGCCTCTTGCCCAGTCACTGGGCAGTACTAAGAGGAATCTGAGCCTTCTCCAGGCTGAACCACCCCAGCTCTCTCAGCCTCTCCTTGCATGACAGGTGCTCCAAAACCATAATCCTGTTTGTGACCCTGCACTGGACTCTGTCCAGCAAGTCCATCTTTAGTACTGGAGAGTCTAGAACTGGTCCCAGCACTCCAGATGTTCCTCACCAGTGCTAAACAAAGAATCATCTCCCTCAGCCTGCTGGCAGGCAATGCTCTTCCTAATGGAGCCCAGGATGCTGTTGGCTGCCTTTGTAGCAAGGGCACCTTGCTGGCTCATCTTCCACTTCCCCACCAGAAACCCCAGGTCATTTTCTACTAAGCTGCTTTCAGCCGATGGGCCACCAGCCTTGTACTGCTGCATGGGTTTACTCCTCTCCAGTTGCAGAACTCCAAACAGATGAGTACTGAAGTTTTGATACTTATTTATTCATTTCACAACTTTCTTCTTTACTGGGCTGTTAAGTTGCTGTAGAAGATGTTTCACTTTTCATTTTTGCTATTATGAGATGGTACTATTTTGAGAACAAAGCTCTCAGCTCAGCTTTACTCCATCTCACTCTGTGTCAGTGATCCATTCACATGCACTATATGTCTTAGAAGAACTGCAAATTTTGAGGTACGTGGAAATTCATTCCAAGAATAATGCTGTCATGTCTTTGCAATAAAGACTTAAAGTAGAGAATTTATCTCAGAAAAAATAGAAGACATTCAACTCTCATTCTGTGTAGACAGGAACTTGTCATCCCCATGCAGGTGACTTGGTAAGACCCAAGTAAACAATTCACAGCACCAACAACTGTTTCAACAGATTTTTCCCCACATTTAACTACTCATAATATGTATCAAATGTGATCTTGTTTCCTGTGCAGATTATGAATAAAACCTGCTGTCTACAGTTAAATTTAATGTCCCTTGTAAGCATCCCGTATAATGTACGTTTATTATTACTCTAGTAAATGAGTAGAGAAAATACAGGAAATTTCAAGACGTACAAGTACATAGAGAAAAATCTAGACAGTGCAAACCCACCTGGTGCTTAGGAGGGTGTCTAATTTCAACGCGGTAAAAGTACATTTTGAAGTTGTGCTGACACAGCAA